GAAGTCTCTCATCTCAAACTAGACGTGGGAACTAGTTGAGTTACCCACGGGTAAGAAGACACTCCACAACAAATGAGTGTACCGGGTAAAAGAGGAGCAAGATGGCTCAAAAAGATATAAAAGCTCGGCTAGTTGTCAAAGGATTCCAACAGAAGGAAGGAATTGACTACACCGATATTTTTACTCCTGTGGTGAAGCTCAATACTATCAGGACAGTGATGAGTATTATAGCTATTGAAGATTTTCATCTCGAGCAGTTAGACGTGAAGACGGTGTTTCTTCACAGATATCTAGAAGAGGAGATATACATGCACCAGTCAAAAGGTTTCTTAGAAGAAAAGAAGAAGAACCTGGTGTGCAGACTCAAAAAGAGCTTGTATGGCCTGAAACAAGCCCCAAGGCAGTGGTACATGAAGTTTGACGGCTTCATGCACAAGGAAGGTTTTCAAAATTGCAACACCGATCACTGTTGCTATTTTAAAAGATATCAGTCCAGTTATATCATCTTACTGCTGTATGTTGATAATATGTTAATTGTAGGTGCAAATATGGAGGATATCAGGAGTTTGAAGCAGCAGCTGTCAAAGGAATTTGACATGAAGGACTTGAGGTCCAGCAAAGAAGATCATTGGAATGCAAATCACGAGAGATAAGAAAATAGGTCTCTTACAGTTATCTCAGACAGAGTACATCAACCGTGTTTTGCAGAGATTCCAACATGGGCGATGCCAAGCCAGTCAGCACACCCTTGGCCAGCCATTTTTGCCAATCAAAGGATCAATCTCCTCAGTTAGATGAAGCGAAAGAGAGTATGACTAAGGTTCCTTATGCCTCAGCCATTGCAAGCTTGATGTACGTAATGGTCTGTACGAGACCAGATATTAGCCATACAACAGGAGTGGTCAGCCAGTTCATGTCGAATCCAGGAAAAACTCATTGGGATGTGGTCAAGTGGATTCTGAGGTATCTACGAGGCACCACACAGAAGTGTTTGCACTTTAGTAAGGGAGAGGTGGAAGTGTAAGGGTATGTAGATGCAAACTTTAGAGGGAAAGTTGATCATCGAACAAGCACAACCGGCTATGCATTCACTATTAAAACTACAGTTGTTAGTTGGATGTGACAAATACAAAAGATTATCACTCTATTCACTACAGAAGCTGAGTATGTAGCAGTGACTGAAGCCAGTAAAGAGATTATATAGTTGTTAACAGAGTTGAGATTCAAACAGGAGAAGAATGTTTTGCACAGTGATAGTCAGTATGCGATTCACTTGGTTAAGAATTCAACATTTTATTCTAGGATGAAGCACATTAGGCTTCGGTACCACTTCATCAGATCCCTGTTAGAAGATGACGTGTTAAAACTGGAGAAGATTCCAGAAAGTAAGAATCCAGTAGATATGTTAACAAAGACGGTGACCATTCAAAAACTAAACTTGTGCGCAACTTTAGTTGGCCTTCATACATAGGTGATGAGGACGGAGCCACACAGGAGAAGGTGCTTGTTGAGATAGTCTGCTGACGACGGTTTGGTCTCTAAGTGGAAGATTATTGGATTTGGATGTGGATCCAAACCTCCGCAGGAGAGGAGCTTTAGGCGAGCTCCTCAGGCGAGCTCGAAGAGCGAGATCCGGAGTGGAGCTCGAGGAGATCTGTAGGCGAGGTCGAGGCGGTCTGCAGTCGAGCTCGAGCGGGGCCACAGGCGAGCTCGAGGGGGGTGAGCTCCACGCAGGCGAGATCCAGGCAGGCGAGCGCGGGTGAGATCCGTGTAGGCGAGCTCACAGAAGATGACAAACGATAGCCTATTACAGGCTGTTATCTCGCTCTAGGGTTCCCTTATAAAAGGGAACCAAGTTCACGAGAAGAAATATCAGCTTCTTCTCATGATTTTCTCCCAGCTCCCTGACGATGGTGTTTTTCCCCATCTGTTCTTCTCTCTTTTTTCTCCCGTACTCATGAGATTTGGGAAGGGAATTTAAGAAGGGGAATTAAATAAGAGGGGAATTAAAGAAGAGTTATTATTGTAGCTACAGTAACAACATTTGCATTTATTGAGAGATCTCAAGTTTAAGATCTGCTCTTACATTGTAATTTCTTTGATTAACAAGAAATTAATTGTGTGGCTCCCGAGGACGTATGCAAATGTACCAAACCACGTAAATCTTGGTGTACTTTTTTTCTATTGCGTTTTCTTGTTATTTTAGGGGTTTAGCGTAGCCCCAGTTTTTTCCCAACATTACATTCCTCTGCATAGATAGAAAATAAAGTAGACTCTCTTACTAGGGCCTGAATTTCTACAAAATAGAAATAACAAAACTATCTTTAAAAGATTCCTTATGATTGAGAAAACAAGTCGGTCAAATTTAGAATCAAAATGAATTTGTTTCCTAATCAAAACAGACTCCTAAAATATTACTCAAGATAGTATAAAACTGATAAAAGTTTGATATCTCTCAATCTAGAGGAAATTTCATGAAGTAGATGGTGGCAAATCGAACAAGATTCAGTTTGGTTGACTTTGTCTCAAAAAAATACACGATTTTCATAAGGTCCAATTCTGAGGCACGCTTTGGAAGATACGACTCATTCTTAATTTGTTGCAAGTCAATTTTCTCTACTGGGCACCCATTTGGACTTCTAATGGTCCAATTTGTTCATGAATGCATCCACAACACGCTCTACATCAGATTGCTTTGGATTTGATGTTGAGGAGAAGAAAATAGTTTTTTAATAGTTTGAGTAAAAAGAGTTGTGCTGTTATTGAGGGGTCTTTGAGGTAAAATGCCAAGCACATGTCGTTCACATGCTTCTTTTAATAAAATTTTAAACTATAGGTGTTTTGTAATCAAACGATATCAATAGAAGGTTTCACGATAAATGACCAAACCTGAAGGACGGGTCACAATAATTACCTTAATCAATAAAAAGGGATAAGGCTCCTATTTTCTAAAAAGAAAAAAGAAAAAGAAAAACACATATCTTAATCATTGTAAGTCCAGAGGATCTTCAACATTTCGTGGCTAAACCATTAACATTGTAAGTGGTCTAAGTTAGCAACTACAAAACAACAACTACAGGATTTTCTGCCATCTGTAAAGTAAATAATTCTTTCATAGACCATAACTTTTATGAAATTGAATCCTCTACACTGTAAAAAAAATTACTAGAGGGGCACTACTTTTATCACAGCTATTGATTTGTATGTGTGATGCGTTATGATTTGTTAAGGACAAATTACAAATGAATGCAATTTATGAAAGATGCGACAAGTGTTAGATTCATTATACAAATTAATTGTTGTTATTAAATTCCCTCCACTATATTTTGCAAGCTGAGAGGATCCAAATCCAACTTTTATATGTAAGCATCACATTCTGCCAATATATTCATATATAATATTTTAAAGGGTTAATTTCACAAACATCCCATGAACTTTGTTTATCTCACTTAACCGCTCTGAACTATGCCCCAAAAAAACCTTTACCAACCCCTTCCCTATAATTTGTAAATAACTAAAAATTTCTTGAGATAAAAAACTCAAACTTTAGGAGAAGGAGTATGTTGCCTTTAAATGACAGGTGATGAATTTTGAAAATTTTTCACATAAAAACATTATAGTT